TTATCCAGAGCGCAGCGGTTACCCCACAACGGCAGAGCTCTCTGGATGCATTGGGTATTTTACAAGCATCAATTCCTGACCATCCACATAAAAGGAGTTCTGGCATATATAGAGCGTTGGACACAGCTGCGGAAGATTTAATTAGTTTTTATAACAACGTGCTGGAAATCCAAAAGAACTCACTCCAGTCTATCTTCTCTGATGAAGCAGAGACGTTGAGCTATGGAGACAAGGTTGAAGATTTGTGTTGGAAAAATAACATTCCAATCCTCGAAGGTATCATGAGGTGGATCGGTATGGATTACAGTGAATGCATTAAACAGCTTGACAATTCGGTTGTCGATGTACTCAGAACTATCTACGGTAATTTTCATGATGAAGAAATCGACCTCAGCAAGTACAGTTTCCTACAGGTCTTCGAAAAGATGAATATCGTCAGTAACCCACAATCCATTATTGATGCGATATCGTCGAAGAATTTCGATGTAACCGAAGCTATCCCTGAGCTAAACAGCGTAATAACCGGATTCGAGCATGACCTAAACGACAAGCTTCCGGCTTATTCGGGATGCTTGACCCAGAGGCTCAATCAGCGCAAGCAGAAGATCGACAGCCTGAAAGACAAAACTGAGAAATGTCTAGCGAGACGAGGCTGACATCATATTAGATAAACATTAAATAGTTAGATTAACTATGGGAAGTAGAACAGTCAAGTTTGGACAATGTGCAATGTGAGTTCTATTAAACTCTAGTGTTTAGAATACGTCAGTAAATTGATTGCAATTAATTTGAAATGAGTTTTTCTTATTTATCTCTGATGGTTCTCGATTTATACTGGTTTGAAATAAGTATTTTGAGGTGACTAAGGGGTTTTATTTAATTTACTTTCTTTACACTGATTTCTCGTACATGACATTTAGACATTTGATGCCGCACATTTTTGCTGAAGCAAGCAATTTGTGATTTCTTTTTAAAATTGGAAAGCTATAAACGATTACTTTTCGTAATAAGTAATCGACTGTAAGTCATGCATCTAATTACTTTGGAAATATTTAGAAGATACTGAGAATTCTGGGAGCTCTCTCTCAGAATACTAATCAAATGCGGATTGACGAACACAATTATAATTGCAAATTTTGAAGAAATTCTTGGGCTGAACACACAATCTTGATTTATGAGAATCTACCACCACTACATATCATCAGTTATGTGTCTTCCTTGTTACACTCCAGACCGTGCTAACTTCACCAATCGCAGTTCCTCAATTGAATATGATCTGACCATGAAACAAGCAACTCATGGGATTCCCGATCAACTTCGACCTATTATTATCCCGCGTATTTTTTACTGAAATGTACCAACACGTCAATTGCGTGAACATATATTTTACAGACGGGTCTCGTCTCAGTGGATCCACTGGCTTCGGTGTCTTCAATGAAAACTCTAGCGCCTTCCGCAAACTCTAGGAACCTTGTTCCGTTTTTGTTGCTGAGCTGGCAGCAATCAACTTCGCATTGGGGATAGTTTCCAACATGCCCGCAGACTTCATCTTCACGGATAGTCTCAGTTCGATCGACACTCAAAAAATTCCACACGTTTGATCGAAGTATTTATACACTTGATTTTTTAAATGCACAATTACATTTACTTTAAGTGTATTTCACCTTGGTTTAATGTATCATACACGTTAATTTATAGTGTTTCAAACTTTGAAATGTTGAAAATCTTTCACTATCTATTCAAGTGTATTGCACATTGAATCACACTACTGTTCAAAACAGATGGATTTAAAGTGTTTTGCATTTCAATGCGATAAGAATTGCTTGCTCAGAAAGGTAAACATCGAAAACAAGACTTGTGACTTTATCCTATCAGTACAGTGAGATCGAACGAAGACTCCGGCAGCAGCACACTCCAACAGTCTTCTCTTATTTCTCGCATCTACTTACGCTTACATCGCGCATCATCTTTTTGCAGGAAAGCTTCAGAATCGTCATCAATCCTCTTTCTATCTACTCAGCGTACGCGCAGCTAGCCACAGCAAACCACAATCTTTCATGCGTCGTAGATAGAGTCGTTCCCCTCGAATTTTGTCATGTATTCAATCGAAAATCCCCAGACAAAATGCAAACTAAAAGTGCCAGCTCATCCTACAACCAAATGAACTAAAACTTTCAGATAATGGTTTTCTCAGCTAAAGGCACCAATCTAAAGGTTGGCCCGTTGAAAATTAGAACTTTTATTTTTGTGGGCCAGTCTTTTCGACATTGATTGGATTGTACCAAGCGTTACTACCATCAGCTGTTTGACGATCGTGATTGTGATAGTAGGGTGTTTCATTCTGGAAAAAAGATTGATATTTTTGATAGGCCACCCCCTAGTTCAGTTCATAACACAAAAACAAACATCTGCCCGAGTAGCACATTTCCGTCACAATAAGTTGCAGCAACTTGTTTATGACTGATATTAGTTGTATAGTTGTTGCCACAACCGATATGTGACAAGCGTGCTACTAGGGTGTGCAAAGAGTCAGCTAAATTGGTCAACGTTAAGAGGTCGCGCCAACGATTTCAATTCTGTTCGGGATTTTCGTCAAATTAGTATGGGAGAAAATGATGACCCACTAAAATCATTCTAATTTTTTTTCTTAATAAACTGATTCGCATGAAATTAAAATATGTTTACTTAAAACTATAATAAACAACTTTGTTGAAGACTGCAAGTCGATTTGATGCTCCAGAAAACAGAAATTGGCTTTCGGAACTCAGATTGCAGATAAACCTTGATTTGAACAGAAAAGCAGGTATGCTGATAGGGCATATTTCATAGTATTAATATTTGAATTAGAGCTGGGACTATCCGGATACTTCAGTTTTTACAATAGACTTACTTTCCGACAAATGAAATATCGTTGAATTGATTTTCAGTTTACAGAATATCATGCTTTCTAGTGCCCAATATTGAAATAAAATTAATTGAGAAAACGTTGAGATGGTTATCATGAGGATAGTAACTATCCGGATATCCGAATAGTGAAAATTTAAATTAATTCTCCTTTTAACAATTTTCTTTTCTACACCCAACCAGTGGATGTAAGATTCGCTTACAATTATGTGAGATTCATCATCAGAGGATGTAAGTGGAGACCGCATGAACAGAGGATGCGATATACCTAGCTGCGGTCCAATGCAAGAAAATTGGAGACCGAAAAATGGTAAATTTATTATGTCGAAAAAATAGGAAAAAGGTTGCCGACTGGACTCGAACCATGAACGTTTCGATTATCAGACCTGTGCTTTCTCCACTGCTCTCTCCATGCTTCTGAATAAGGATAGCCTAAAAGCAAACAAGAAGCGTTCCTTTCCTCTCACACTCGACTTCGTATGCTTTTTCTGCTGGAGAGATTCGCGGCAAGGGTGTGTGTCGTTCTACCATGTTATACATAAAAATCAAGGCAAATGCTTGCTTGTGTAGGTGAAAGCACAGACAGAACACGAAATAAAAAAGGCAAAAAACCATTACATCGCCTGTAAGGTCAACTTCTAACATTCGCTGCGATGTTCATGAACAGAGGATGATAGGAAATGGAACTAACATTAATTGTTATAGATTTTTGGTTTGCGTGTACACCCAACCGAGGGATGTAAGATTCTCTTACAATTATGTGGGATTCATCATCAGAGGATGTTAGTGGAGACCGCATGAACCGAGGATGCGATATACCTAGCTGCGGTCCAATGCAAGAAAATTGGAGACCGAAAAAATTAGAGTGTATTAGTGAGGTAAATTAGTTATGTCGAAAAAAATAGGAAACAGACTGCCGACTGGACTCGAACCACGAACGTTTCGATTATCAGACTTGTGCTTTCTCCACTGCTCTCTCCATGCTTCTGAATATGGATAGCCTAAAAGCAAACATGAAGCGCTCATTGTCTCGCATACTCGTATGCTTTTTCTGCTGAAGAGATTCGAGGCAAGTGTGTGCGTGGTTCTACAATGTTCTACAATGTGCGTCGTTCTACAAGCTTACTGGTATAGTCGAAAGCGTAGATAGAACACGAAATAAAAAAGACAAAAAACCATTACATCGCCTGCATGGTCAATTTCTAACATCCGTTGGAGGCGAACCAGCCTAAGGCTGAAAGCCTCCTAAATAAAGCTAAATAATAATAATAATAATTTCTAACATTCGTTGCGATGTTCATGAACAGAGGATGATAGGAAACGGAACTAACATTCATTGTAATAGATTTTTGGTTTGCATGTACTGTTCTAAATATTTGTCAAAAAGTTGGTTCTAGGTTGCCCATGTGACCTGATGTGGAATGGCAGATCTGTTAATTGCCAAAATTTAATAACATTGAAAAATAAAAATATCCGGATACTCGAAGTCCCAGCACTAATTTGAATCAACACCAATGAATTTTTACACTTAAAGTCCGAGCGTGTCCGTGCAGCGAGCATTTCTCACTTCATTAACAAATAAGTTTATTACTATAATTAAAATCTACTTTTTTTACGTATCTATAACAAGCTTAAACTCTATTCTATCGACTGCTTCAGAAAGAACTAATTTTCGTCAACTGCATGCCCAAGATTAGTGTGCGGAGTTACCAACCCCTTGTATGGTATACACATATTTTGAATCGGATAAAGTCAATCTTTTTCTTATTGACCACTTGAATCCCCATGGTGAGTTGTAGGAGTAAGAGGTGGGACCTTCATCATCATCATCAGTTACAGTCGTTACAGTTTATATAACTGTATCCCTTAGGTTAGAGGGTGTAATATAATAAAAAAAAACGGGGGCGCCCTAGTATTTTTAATGTTCTTCCTTAGAAATGGGGAAATGAAGCAATCTTATCACAAACTCACATAAATGCTTATCGTTCAAGATACACAAATTGATGCAATTGGTGAAATTTAAAATCCCCTATCAATAAACACTGTTAGCATCGCAAAGTGATAACGAGATCATTGCATTAGTATATGCCTGGATTAGTCCTATAAAAAGGCATCGTAATTTAACCCGCGATACCATACACCTACTCAAGTGAGTGAAGTGAGCTCGAAAATCCTAGCCACAACATGAAACTTCTGGTACTTCTTGGATTTTTGGCTGTGGCCGTAAGTATCTTTCATATTTCCTAAGCAGTGAATTTATTAATACTCAAATTATCTCATCGATTAGCACTCGCAAGTTTCCGAAAAACGCATGAGCTCTCTAGACGTTTTGGAGAAACTCAGTCAGCATATTCCCAACTACAAATATGCAACGGACTTAACCATCCTTAGACTATCTGAGGCAAAAAAAATGCATCGGAAGTGCTGAACGAATTTTACAGGAAAACCCTCAAAATTAAGACAGAATCACTTGTGTCGATGATTAACTTAGAGCTAGAAATGATAAACTATGGAAAATCAGTTATCGAATATTGTTGGGAGAATAATATACCCATCCTCGAAGGTAGAATGGGATGGGCCGGTGATGACTACAGGTACTGTATCAAGCAATTGGATAACTCAACCACTAATGTAGTTGCCAAAATCTATGGAAGCTTCAACGTTGACGAAAGTAATATCCGCAAGTATAGTTTGTTCGAGGTCTTCGAGGGGAGGAACATCATCAACGAACCGCAGTCGATCATCGATGCCATCTCTAAACTTGATACCGTTGTAACTGATGGCATTCCGGAGTTCGGTGATGTTGTAACCAGCTTAGAAACTGATCTGCACAATGTACTTTCAGTTTACACTTCTTGTTTAACTGAGGAGCTTTCTGATGTAATACAAGAGATAAAAGACTTAAAAGTTGAAACCGAAAAATGTCTCAATAGCCTTCCTTCGGAAGAGAAGTAAAGCCGTTGATCTCCAGTTCATGAGCTGATGGGTCGATAGGTAGGGGCCAGGTGTAGGAGCTGGCTCCCTGGCGTCGGTAGTATTAGTGCTCAGCACGGAAAACAAGATCAACGGAAAACAAATCATAGAAAAAAATGTCTGTCGGCTATAAGGCTATTTGGTTAGTACACTGAGAAAAAAAACCATATAAAGTTGATGTGAACTCATATAGATTTTTGCAATAGTACCTCGCTAATACCAACCGGTGGAAACTAACGATATTAAATTGGCTCACTACTCGACTAGCCTATCCGTCCCAAGTACATCTATTAGCGTACCCCATTCTAGTTGAAATTCTAGTACTACACTATGTTTGTTTTGATTCGCTATTAAAGTTTGACAAATAAAATGAGGGGTTCGTGGATTTTCTTATGTTTCAAGGGGTGCATCGATTGGCTTGGGACCGAAGATAGTACCACAGCTGAGCCAAAAAGTTGAGCACGTTTCTTCAGGATCTTCTGGTCTTAGAGTTACCTCTATGCTAATACCATGTATGTGTTAGACACATAATCTCAATGTTTTTTTTTTTTTTTTTGAATATGAATTTTATATGTGATGACTTTAACTTTTATTTTAACTTTCCCAATCATAATCTTTAATATTTATCTTTTAATATGAAACAATAAGACGATTAATATTTAATCGACAATCTCTTCAATTTCATTTGTTTGTTGGAATGAAATTTATATCCTGTAATAGTAGGTTCCGTATTTTATGCGTATTCATTAATAAAAAAAAACATTTCATTACCAATACTACATTATGCAGTTATCAGAAATATGGCAAACATAAAATGAATATTAAATACAGCTACTATTATATTTATATCTCTTTTAAAGGTATAATTATAATTTAGGTTTTGGACCTAAACTATAAATTTTTTTTTTTTTTTATTTGGAAAATTATTATTATAGCATTTATCAACTATTAGACAAGATTCTTTAGCTATAAATCCATTGTTACAAAATCGTTTTTTCCAAAATAATTGCTTGTTCTGCACATTGTAAACCATTACCGGTGGCCCGTCAATATCTTTCAAGTTCAGTATGAAATATTTACTGCTAACATCAACCACGTTATTTTCATTTTGCAGCGTTTGGTGGGGCAATGGGAGCGCAAGTTAATCCAAAGCCGAGGATAAAGGAAGGGTAATGGCTAAATAGTCTATGCGGACCACTTGAACGCCATGGGAAAAGGAAGCGATTGAAGAGGTCGGTTATTGGGAGGGGGGGGGGGGTTTATTTTAAAGCAACCATCAAAATAAACAGGCAATATATGCAAAGGCTAGTTGCCAGTTGCTTTAAAGGCTATTTGTCTTCCTAAGCGAAACCTTATCAGTGATTGCGGTGGTTCAAGGAACATTAAATAAAGCATTTTCGAAAACATGACGCTGCAAAGTCACTAGGCCAATCGGGTGAGATCTTTTCATTTTATCTATTTAGATTCCATTTGTGTCACTGATTTATAAAATGCTCTATATTGACAAATAGAGCTTCCAAATCATTCACCCTCCCACTAACACAACTCTTTCCTTCCTGTGACACCTATGAAGGTAGTATGGGTTCCCTGCACCTTCTTAAGTAGATGTTGGATTAACTTTCCCTCCCTTCCCCTGCGATTGTAAGGATGTGGCCAGGTGTATAATGCGATGCTTGTTTTGTAAATTTTATGTTTGTGTGGGAAAAATCACAAATCCCAAGTGATATTTTCTGCGTCAACACACGATATTTTCTGCAAAACGTATTAGTTGACCATTAAACAGCCACCCACGATTTGTACAATCGCATATGCCAGACGCGATGGAAGCGAATGTTGAAGAGTCGGAGGAAGGCAGTATTCTAACCACAGAGCAGCAGGAGCGATTGGAAGAGGTTAAGAGGAAGTTTAAGGTGTTCAACGAAGGAGACAAGTTAGGTGTCACTTCTCTGATCTCCCACACCATAGAATTCACTGACGAGTTCAGGGATGCAAAACCAGTACGACTGAATCCGTATCCCTGGTCGCCCGAGGTTCAAAAGTACGTGAACGAGGAACTCGAAAAGTGGATTGAATCTGGTGTGGTGGAAAGATCAAACAGCGAATGGGCAATGCTGATTGTCCCAGTCGTGAAGAAAGCTGTTGGAGAAGACGGAGAAGAAAAGATCAAGGTCAGAATGTGTTTGGACGCACGGAAGCTGAATGAACGAACCAGGAGAAATGCGTACCCACTACCTCATCAGGACAGAATCTTGGGAAGATTGGGGTCGTCAAAATACCTGTCTACGATAGACCTTTCAAAGGCATTTTGGCAGGTACCATTAAACCCTGACTCCCGAAAATACACTGCCTTTCGGGTATTCGGACGTGGTTTGTTCCAGTTCACCCGTTTACCCTTCGGTTTGGTGAATAGTCCCGCGACTTTGTCTAGATTGATGGACCAGGTGTTAGGATACGGGGAACTAGAACCCAATATTTTTGTTTATCTCGACGACATAGTCATCGCCAGTAACTCATTCAAGGAACACATTCGATGCCTAGAGGAAGTAGCCAGACGGTTGAACGAAGCCAACCTTTCTATTAACATCGAGAAGTCACGATTTTGCGTTTCAGAACTACCGTACCTGGGATTCATTTTATCGAAGGATGGAGTCCGTCCCAATCCGGAGAAAGTGGAAGCAATCGTGAACTTTGAAAGACCATCGTCGGTACGTTCATTGCGTCGTTTCTTGGGGATGGTTAATTACTATCGTCGCTTTATCGAAGGTTTCAGTGACTTTACCACGCCACTTACGGATCTTCTAAAAGGAAAACCGAAGGTGGTAGCTTGGAACAATGGAGCAGAGGCAGCGTTCAACTTACTGAAAGAGAAACTTATCAGTGCACCTATTCTAGCCAACCCTAATTTCGATCAACCGTTCAAGATCCAAACAGATGCTAGTGATATGGCTATTGCAGGTATCTTGACCCAGGAACATGAAGGCAAGGAGCACGTGGTAGCTTACTATTCCAGGAAGCTCACGACTCTACAGAGATCCTGGAAAGCTGCTGAGAAAGAGGCCTCGCAGCTCTAGAATCGATTGAAAAGTTTCGTCCGTACGTTGAGGGAAAGAGGTTCACCCTCATAACCGATTCGTCAGCTGTGTCGTTCATCATGAACTCCAAATGGAAACCGTCAAGCAAGCTCAGTCGTTGGAGTATTCTGCTCCAACAGTATGACATGAAGGTACAGCATCGCAAGGGATCAGAAAATGTAGTTGCCGATGCCCTGTCTCGATCTGTAGAAGCAATGGAAGTCACGACAGAAAACGATTGGTACTCGAAGCAGTTTCGAAAGGTCGAGGAAGATCCAGAGTCGTTCGTTGACTTCAAAATCGAAGACAATAAGCTCTTTAAGTTTGTAGCAGCAGCCACAGACGTGTTGGACTACCGCTACGAATGGAAATTATGTCTACCGGAAGGATTGAGGAAATCGGTATTAAAAGAAGAACATAACGATTCTCTCCATCCGGGGTACGAAAAAACGTTGCAGAAAATTAAAACTCGGTACTACTGGCCGCAGATGGCAGTAGAGACAAAACGATTTGTGCAGGCTTGCGAAGTTTGTAAGCAGTACAAACCCTCAACAGTCTCATCAAATCACCAGATGGGAAAGCAAAAACTGACAGATCGTCCATTCCAGATCCTGGCCTTGGATTTTATCCAAAATCTTCCACGGAGTAAAAATGGGAACATCCACTTATTAGTCCTGATGGACCTCTTTTCTAAGTGGACAATGCTCATTCCTATACGGAAAATAGAGGCTAAGGCAGTCTGTAGAATTGTGGAGGATCAGTGGTTCAGGCGATATGGAACTCCAGAGGTGATTATCAGTGACAACGCGACTACGTTCACTGGTAAGGACTTCCAAACCTTAGTGAAGAAGAGAGGGATTCGTCACTGGCCAAATACAAGGCATCACAGCCAAGCAAATCCAGTTGAACGAACAAACCGTACCATCAACGCATGCCTACGAACCTACATGCAACCGGATCAGCGAGTGTGGGACACTAGGATACCCGAGGTAGAGGAAATGATCAACACGACGTTACATTCCTCCACAGGTTATTCTCCATACCGCATCCTATATGGGCATGAGAAGGTAGTGAAGGGTGAGGAGCATCGTCTGGAGAGGGATGAAGGTGAACTTTCCATCGAAGCGAGGGACCAGTATAGGAAGGAAGTTGGAGGAAATTTCTTGGAAGTCGTTAAGAACAATCTCCAGAAAAGTGACAACAAGCATAGGAAAGTGTACAACTTACGGTTCAAGAAGTTTGCACCAGATTATGAGGTCGGCCAGAAGGTTTACAAACAGAATTTCCGTCAATCGTCCGCTGTTGAGCACTTCAATGCGAAATATGGGCCATTGTTCACTCCATGCACGATAGTGGCTAAGCGAGGTAGCAGCTCGTACGAGTTAGCAAATGAACAAGGGAAAAATTTGGGAGTTTTTTCAGCCAGTGATATCCGTCCGGGCAACGAGACTCCACGTCGTTATTCTGGCTGATTCCTAAAAAAAAACAGGAAAGTTGTAATTTCTGTCTCGTCTTAAATTGCGACTAAATCAGAAACAACATACCGTACTAACACGTGTAACATTAAGACACGTGTAAAAATCCTT